ACGTGCCTGTAATCTCAGCAGCTGGGGGGCTGATGCAGGAGGATTGCAAGTTCAAAGTCAGGCTCCACAAGGTAGGCCCTAAGCAACTTGGCAAAACACTGTCTCAGAATAAAAAAAAAATAAAAAGGGCTGGGGATGTGGCTCAGTGATTAAGCACCCCTGGGTTAAATCTCCAGTACCAAAACCACCAAACAACCCCCCCAATTAATCCTAACCCCTCAAAAGACCCCTCAAAAATGTTAAAAATAGAAAAAAATGTACACACATTTCATGAACCAATCAGCATAGCAAGAATAACCCCCCCACACACACACACACACTTATAAAGGCAGTGGGGAGAGTCTTTAATAAAAAACGAAAGAATTGGGCTGGGGTTGTAGCTCAGTGGTTGAGCACTTGTCTTGAATGAATGAGGCACTGGGTTCGATCCTCACCACCACATAAACAAATAAATAAAATGAAGATATTGTGTCCATCTACAACTGGAAAGATGAAAAAAGAAAAAAAATGAAAGAATTGTCTCTGCATTTCTGCTGAGGTGATCAAAACTATTGGACAAGGACAAATGTTCGCTGCCTATGCCAGACTGCCCTCGTTTTTTCTTGGGCGGTTAGAGCAAGGGCTGGGATTGTTCAACCCATCCTCTCTTTGTGCTGCTCACTGAGCTGCCAGTTGGAGTGGCCTGGAACTGCAGGTGGCTAAAATAGCTGTCAGCTTCCCCTGTCATCAGTACAATAGGACAGAGTGGAAAGTACTCTTGATTGAGTTTTGTTTGGACAGAACAGATCACTAAGCTCCTGGGGTGGGGCTGCTGCAGAGTTCTAAATGGGAAGTTCCACTGGCTGGACTTTCACTCTCATCAGATCTTTGGGACTTTGTTGGATGGTATCTGTTTTGGAGAAATCAGACCAACACACCCTTAGGGTTGGGCAGATGCTGATCTCTCCAGGGCTTCCCAAAATCTCTACCCATAGGCTGCGGAAGCCAACCCTTATAGGTCTCACACATCCAATTGCCTATGGATGTGGTATTCCCGGGCTGAGTCCCCAGGTGTAGTTTCCCAACACTCTTTAGCTGGTCATGTGAGCTGCCAGATGCAAAGAGAAGGGGTTGCATCCCCTCTGTATCTCTGACTCGAATCCCCCGGGGTACCAGTCTTCACTGTGCCTGTTTCAATCATGTTCTGCTAGGCACACCCTAGTCCGCCCAGTGGGCACTTGGCAGGACAGTAAGGCCATGTTTGTTATGGTCTGGGCTCCCAAAGTAGCAAGTTGCAGTGTGGACACCTCAAGATGGTTCCTGCCTCACTTCTCCACCTGCCAGTTGAAAAATGGGGAGCCCCTTTCAAACACCAGTTGGCCCTGTAGCCTCCGCATCAGCTAAGTTCAGGTTGCTCTCCTGATCTGCAGGTTTTTCTGTGCTAAGTTTGTCTGTTGTGTCCTGTTTATGTCATCCCTCCCCCTTGTGGCGAACCAGTGCTATTGCTGCTGATGCCGCTGGCTTGGCTCCAATGTTCTTTCTTGTTTTGTTTCATGCCCCAGAATTTCTGGGTCTCTAAGAGTTTCTGAGTGTCTGATGTTGAACTTCAGTGAATTCCCTCTTTTACCCACCTCCCTGAGAAATGGCACCCCGCTGCCTGAGCCATGGAGCAACTGGATATGCAGCCTTTCTCTAATCTGCCATCGTGAATCTCTTACACATGGATTTTTCTTGGGGGGGGGGGGGGGCTACTGGGGGTTAAATCCAGAGGTGTTTTACCCCTGAGCTACATCTCCAGCCCTTTTTATTTTTCATTTTGAGAAAGGTTCTGACTAAGTTGCTTAGGGTCTTGCTAAGTTCCTGAGGCTGGTCTGAAATTTGTGATCCTGCTTCAGCCTGCCAGCCACTGGGGTTACAAGTGTGCCCCACTACATATGGAATTTCAAAACAATAAAACACAGAAACAGAGAAGAATGGTGGTTACAAGTCAGGTATGGGAAGATGTCAATAGGCCAAAGGGCACAACGTGGCAGCTCTTTAGGATGCATAAATCCAGAGGCCTAAAGGTACTTGAGGACCACAGTTGGTAGTGCTGCATCCTGCACACACAGTGGAAGATGACGCATGCTGACTTACTGGACCATAGTAATAACTTCACTATATATATATATCAAATAATGCTGTACTCATGAAAGTTTATCAGAACACGTTGTACTCCTCAAATAACAGAATTTTAAAAAAATTAAGACCAAAGATGAAATAAAGCTACACTTGGCCTCGATGAAATCTGAGAGAATTGCCAGAGATATACACTATAAGAAATGCTGGAGTCAGGCATGGTGACTCGTGCTAGTAATGCCAGCGGCTCAGGAGGCTGAGACAGGAGGATCTCAAGTTCACAGCCAGCATCAGCAAAAGTGAGGTGCTAAGCAACTCAGACCCTGTCTCTAAATAAATACAAAATAGAGGTGGGGATGTGGCTCAGTGGTTGAGTGCCCCTGAGCTCAATACCTAGTACTCTCCTCCTCACCGGCCCATCCAAAAAAATGCTGGGCTGGTTGTGGGGCCACAGGCCTGTAACCCTAGCTACTCTGGAGGCTTATGAGGATTGCATATTCAAGTACAGCAGCCTGGGCACTTGGTGAGACCCTGTCTCAAATTAAAATTTAAAAATGGGTCTGGGAGCCAAGTATGGTGGTGCACACCTGTAATCCCAGAAACTGAGGAGACTGAGGCAGGAGGATCACAAGTTTTAGGCCACCCTCAGTAATTTAGTGAGGCCTTTAGTAACTGAGACCCCATCTATCTCAAAATTAAAAATAAAAAAGGTTGGGATGGAGCTCAGTAGTAAATCTCTCCTACCTGGGTTCAATCCCCAATACGGGGTGGGGGGGAACAAATGGGTCAAGGATACAGTTCAGCAGTAGAGTGCTTGCTTAGCATGTGTGAGGCCCTGTGTTCAATCCTCAGCACAAAGTAACAAAAGAATTGCTGGGCTGGGGTATAGCTCAGTGGTAGAGCACTTGACTAGCATGTGCAAAGCCCTGGGTTCAATGCTCAGTACCAGCAACAGGAAAAAACAACAAAACAAACAAACAAAAAACCACAACTAATATAATCTTCAGATTGAGGGAAATACTAGATAGAAATTTAGATCTATAGAAAGAAATTAAAGAAGTCTGAAAAAAAATTCCTTTTTTTTTTTTAAAGAGAGAGTGAGAGAGGGAGAGAGAGAGAATTTTAATATTTATTTTTTAGTTATCGGCGGACACAACATCTTTGTTTGTATGTGGTGCTGAGGATTGAACGCGGGCCGCACGCATGCCAGGCGAGCGCACTACCACTTGAGCTACATCCCCAGCCCAAAACAATTCCTTAAAGAAAAAACAGACTGTTTAATGGAGATAAAAGGAATTACTCTAAGAGTAGCTCAGCTGAAGGGAGTATGAAATATAAAAGAACCGTGAAACTTCAAGTGACTTTTGACTCTGAATAGCCTGAATACGAAGGATTCCTCCTACTAACTATGAAGTAGCAGTTGCCAAATTTTGTTCTCCTTACATTAAAGGAGAAACCCAAAGAACTTTTATGTGGCTATACCTGTAATTAAAATTGTTAAGCATTGTTTTAAAGGACTGCAATAGTTATATCATCTAAAATATACTGTTATATCATGTGCATGAGCGTATATGAATATGTAATAACAAATATTATGCACCAATGAAAAATGTGGAAAAAATTGTAAAATGACTAATAATTCATTCAATATCACATTTTTATAAAAAACATTATTTTTTAGTTGTAGATGGACACAATACCTTTATTTATTTATATGTGGTGCTGAGGATCAATCCCAGGGCCTCACACATGCTATGCAAGTGCTCTACCACTGAGCTACAGCCCCAGCTCCTTTATAGAAACCATTTTCAAAAAAATTAGAAGAATGTAATTAATTTACAGGTTCTGCAAATCTCTTTAATGTTAACGGCTAAATTCCCTGCTTCTTCATTCATCCTGCAGCAATATGTTCTTTTGGTTGAAGTATACGACGAAAATCTGGCTTCACAGCATTGGGAAAGGAGGAATAACTAGCATTGGGATTCTTTTTTTATATATTTATTTTTTAGTTATAGTTGGACACAATACTTTTATTTCACTTATTTATTTTTATGTGGTGCTGAGGATCAAACCCAGGGCCTCGTGCTTGCGCTGAGCCACAACCCCAGCCCAGGATTCTTTGATACTACACCAACAATCAACAAGTGGCTAAAGGGTCCTAGTTTTTAGTTAAAACCGAGTATAGTTCTAGAAACTAGTGGGCCTCTGCACCTTGGTTTTTACAAGGTTAAGATAAGCCTTTGAGAACAGGATTCACATTCTCTTTCCACCTAAAGCGTCCATTCCTATTTCCATCCTCCAAGAATGTAGGTTATAGGGCAGAAGACAGGTCTCTAGTACTACATGAAACCTGGCTTATTTACAAGTTCAAGATCCATGTGAAGTGGCCAAACATTATACAAGTAATTTAAGAATATGTTTTATTTTTGGTTTTGTTTTTGTTTACTGATACTAGAGGTTGAACTTAGGGGCACTTTATCACAGAGCTAATATCCCAGCCCTTTTTAACTTTTTAAAAATATTTTTTTAGTTGTTGACAGACCTTTCTTTTACTTATTTATATATGGTGCTGAGAATCAAGCCCAGTGCCTCGCACATGCCAGGAAGTGTGCTACCGCTGAGCCCCAGCCCCAGCCCCTTTATTTTTAATTTTGAGACACAGTCTTACTAAGGCACAGGCTGCCCTTGAAATTGTGATCCTCCTGACTCAGCCTCTTGAGTAGCTGGAGTTATAGGCAGGTGCCAGGATGCCTGGCAAGGGTAAGTTCTAAAATAGTGTTCATTATTGAGTTTTTCAGGTGAGACTAGTGATTTTCTTCTCAATGAAAGAATTTTTCCTATTAAGTTCACCACAGAAAGTCATTTCTCAGAACACAGAATGTAGTAAAGGAAGAGGGATGATATATTTTTACTGAAAGTAGTTTATTATGCAAACATGGCTTGAAAGGTACTTATGTGTTTTTAAATGATGCCTAAACATAAGCCAAATGCAAAGACTTAGCACATCTATTATAAACAGCCCTTATGAAGACAAAATCATTGAGAAATGTTTATTTTCCCTCTTGAAAGGACTAATCCAGGAGATAATATGGGTGTAGGTGGTGAATTCAGTTTGCTTCCTTCATTGTTCCTCTCCTAAACCCCCAAATCTTTCAGAAGCACTTTAATGAGTTGCTTGCTGGTGCTTGGAAACAGAATGATGTCCAGACTTTACAGGTCCATGGCCCAGCGGACGGACAGGCTCTTTTCCTCCACACTGGCCACCATATCTTCAATGGCATTCCAGTCAAGATTGCTGAGGATGCTGCCAGTGCTCTCAGACATGCTGTGCATGCCAGCCATCCCAAAATGAGGCTCAGACTCTTCCTGTGACAAGTCCTGTAGAATTGAGAGGGAAGACAGTTGTGGTAGCAGAGTTGTCCCATCCATCAAAGAGCTGAAGGGAGTCAGGGCTGAAATTGCCCAGCACACCCAGACTGACAGTGAGCTGGACGTCATCTGACACTTACCCTGGCACAAGATCTGAACAGTGAGCAGAATGGATTTTAATGCCTATGGTACAGTTATTTGTTATCATGTTTGCTGTTTTGTAATGAAAAAGAAAATATAAACACTAGGAGAATTCTGAAAGAGAAATGCTGGAATACTATCCCACAAGGGTGGATGCCTTGAACGATTATCTCAAACTGACTTAAACAATCACATCTCACGAAAAGCAAACAATAGTAATAACAGTAAGAAACCACGTAGGAACACAGCAACTATCAGACAAACCCAAGACTAGAATGGTGCTCACCTGCGAAAGGGAACCAGGAGTCTCATGAAGAATTTGGTGGATTTCAGGAGGTAACGTCCAGGGACTCGTCATGATCTCCTCTCTCTCATATTCTATACGCACCTGCGTTGTTTGAGGTGCAAGCCCAGCACATCTATGTTTTTTTGTATGCTGCAGACATGGAGCATGAGAGCCTTTGGAGGGAGAAGGACAAAACATACGTTGGAACTGACTGATTCATCAATTCGATTGTTATTTTATTGTGATTTTACTGTCAAAGCCAAGACAGACAGATTTTACCTAACATTTGAATCACATGATCTGGAGTGGGTTCACTGTATAGTTCCAACGATTCCTGTCCTGTCAGTGTGTGTGATTGGCCACCTCTTTTGATTTGAAGTATAATGGTAATCTTTACGACAAGAACTTCTAGGGAGGAGATCAGGTAGAACTGGGAAAAAACTCAGAATTCAGAATCCAGAGCCAGGCTTTGCTTGCCTCTGTGGACCCTGGGAGTAGCTTTCTACTTGCATGTGCTCTAGCTGTCTGTGCATAGTCTGCCTTTGGGCACAAGCCCTAGGGTGAGCATGGTGGCAACACATTATTCTCTTCCTCATTACCACATATATCAATATTTGTGGAAACTTTCATCTCAGTGCCTGGGAGCAGCTTAGCAAACCCCTCGGGCATCAGGCTCTAGAGGAGTTTGTCTTGACAGCACATTCTATCCCTCACCAAGGTGGCCTCCCGAAGAAACACCCGAGACATGGAAATAAACCCAAGCCGCCCAGAGGCAGCCATGTGGCTCCCTGAAGGGAGGAAAACGAGGTAAGGGAATGATGAATTTTGGGCCCATATGGCCTTTTATGGCTCTATATGTGCTTGAAGCCAATATACCTCCAAGAAGTAAGCCCAGAAACAATGACAGCACACAATCTGTCATTTAGTGTGGACTAAGCACTCTACGAACATTTAGTCCCTTACCAGAGAGCCACGGGCTTGGTCTTCGGTTCCTCTTAACATCTACACTCTGCCCAGCTGATCTCCTCTAAGTTCCCTGGCTTTAAATATCACCTACATGCTGAAAATTCTCAAACCTAAACCTCCAGCCTCACAGAGTTTAAAACTGCTTTCTTGACATCTTCACTTAGATGGGCAATAAACATCTGAATCTTAATATGTCCAAACAAAAATTAATTTTTACCTCCAAAATTCCATCCCAGTTAATGCTTAGGTTAAAGTCCCATCATCCCTCATCCTTTCTTAAATACCACACCTATTCCATTCAGTACATCGTAATCTAGTCTATGTTCAAAATATATGCTGAATCTAGTGAATTTCCCCCATTTTCTTTATTTTAACCCTAGTCTATACAACCTTTCGTTCCTTGTTGACTTCTGTTTTTCTTCTCCTGCAGGTTCTAAAACAGAACATTCCTAATTTCCTCCAGTGGAGCCTCATGAATCTAAAACTCCTTGTTTTAGCCTGTAGTATTTCACCTCTCCCCCCAACCATACCTCTGGCCACGTTTCCACACAGATCTTCTCTGTCATGCCAACTTTGTTTCTGTTTGGTGGCACTGAACTTGCTGTTCTCTTTGTCTGTAATTGTTTTGCTTTATCTTTACAAGATTTATCTCCTTATCATCATGCAAGATCTGTAGTTCAACATCACTATCTCAAAGAGATCTTTACCAACTCCAGCTAATATCAGCCCCACCTAAACAGCTACACTCTCCCTTCTGTGTCAAGGTGCACTTCATGACTAAAATGACGTCATGTGGTAGGAGCTCACTGGATGGTTGCTGAATTAATGTTCTTCATGACAATCCTTGAGGAAAGTGTTATTATCTCCATATCACTTGCCTAAGATGTGGAAGATGACCTACCCCAGACCTGAGTTAATGCAATAACTTTCTATTCCTTAGTGTGCAGTAGTACACTACTGAGAGAGGCCTTTAATGATAATTTTCATATCTGTGAGAAATGAATGGTCTACTTATTTTGGTCCCTAAGGCAGCAACTTTCCAAAAGCCTCTTCCTGGGGTGGTGAAGGAAGGGAGTAGGTGGCAATTCAAAAAGACCTAGCGGTTTTCTTTGGGAAAAAAAAAAAAAAGTCCCCTGGGTCTGAAAGAGAAACTAAGTTAACATCACTTGGCAGCACCTGTGATTGCCACTTTAACTTCCAGTGTGAGAGCGTGTGATCTAGTTGAAAACAGTTTGACTTTTTTTTGCTAAAGTCTATTTTGGGATGCCACTGAAAGTTCCAAGTTAAGTATTTCAATAAATATCACTAAGGAATAAATATTGAAAAACTCAATGCAAGAAAAAAATCTAGGAGCAGACAATGGGAATGCATATGTGAACAAACACTGTAGTTGAAAAAAAGAGAGAGACAGACTGAAGAAACCAACAAGTGGAGTAGGGTGCTGAGGCTGTTCCTTCAGGTACTCAGGATATGGCCAGATCAGTGAAGGCCATGAACACCCACCCCACCCCGTCTCCGCTACAACTGATTTGGTATCTAGACCTCTACTCTTGTTTTGTTAAATAATTATTGCCATCTAGAAAGAATAACAAAAGTTAAACCATTGCCGAGTCTGCTGGAATTAAGATTAACATTTTAAAATTAAGGCTAATATCCCTACATTTAGGATAAACTTTTACCTGCGGAGTCTCTATAGACCTTGAGAGACTAACACTGGCTTTCTCTCACCTTGCATTACCCGTGGATGGCTCTGTAATTTCCTTTTCTTCAGATCATAATGAGTTTCTGTAGGATTTATTTGGGATATCAAATCTTGAGATGAAAATACAATACGAGAAAAATTCTGTGAAACTGAGGATGTGAACTTTCAAAGGGAGGGCATTCCTGCCCCCAGTGTGAATAGTAAAATCTATATTTATTTTTACAACAAATTGTATTGTGTATATTTAAAGTATGTAACACATGTATATACACAAACGTCTATATGGAGGGCTATACATATATGTGTGTGTGTACATATACACACATATGTGTGTATATATGTGTGTGTATGTAAGACGGTCACTGTGGTAGAACAAATTAACATATCCATCTTGTCACATACTCACCAGTTCTTCCCCCTGACCCCTATGGCAAAAATGACTACAATCTATTCATTTAGCAAAAATCGTGAATGAAATGTGCTACTATTAACTACAGTCCTCATTTTGTATACTGGGTCTTTGGACTTGTTCATCCTACATATCTGGTATTTTGTACCCTCTGACCTACACTGTCGCATTTCCTACCCCTCCTCAGAAACGACTATGTCTATATATGTTTGATACCTTCCCTTTTCTTTTAGAGTCCACATGTGAGAACATGCAATGATTTTCTTTCTGTGTCTGGCCTATTTCACTTAGCATGTCCTCCAGGTCCATCCATGTGGAAAATGGCAGGATCTCTTCTTTTAAGGCTGATAATATTCCATCATGTGTATATATAGTAATCCCTCCTTATCTGCAGTTTTTTGTTCTATAGTTTCCGCTACCCTCAGTCAACTATGGTCTTAAAATATTAAATGAAAAATTCCAGGACACAAGTTTTAAACTGTGTACTCTCTTCTTCATAGCATGATGAAATCTTGTGTAGTCTTGTTCCATCCTTCTTGGGACATGAATCATCCCTTTGTCCACTGTATCCATGCTGTATATGCTAACCACGCAATAGTTACTCAGCAATCCGGCAGACGCGGAGGTATCAATTCTCTGACCTCTTCAGCTGCACGGGCAAAAGGAGTCTTAAACTGTCTGAATGCTGTTTGCTCAGGATCACTAGGCAATGCTGGGCTGACGTGGACCTGGGGCGAACAGTCTGTGCCCCTCAGTACACACACCAAGCCCGGAGCGGGTGAATTAAGGCTCCCGTACGCAGTTTCTGGCTGACCAGCTGCGACTTGCAGCCAAACCTGCATCTTGCAGCCAAACCTCTACAACTCAGCGCTACAAATGCTCCCGCTGAGTAGAGAAACAACTCGTCACCCCTCCGTGAACCTTTTGAGGTTAATACCAACCAAGCCTTCAAAGGCAGTGGCCACAGGGTTGAGACGGGGCTTGGGAGAGCCGGTCAGGACCCACCCGTTGCATCAGACATCTGGCAAAGGGAAAGAACTGCTGCCATTTACATGGGATATCACCATGGCAGAGAACAGAATGCAGTGGAGGAGATAACTTCATTGAAACCCGCAGCTGCAGGTGTGTAACCCCCTAGCCCTTCCTCTCCACACAGCGGGGAAACCTCAAGGGCCCCTCCCAGCTCTCCCGTGAGCACAATAGTCAGACCGAGGGAATCAGGAGCGGCGCGGGACCCCGGATACCGCTCCCACCAGAGGTCTCTTGCACCAGCTCCCGGGGGCGTGGCTACCAGAGGGCAGGCAAAATACCCTGAGGGTTCTCAGCCCCACGCTGCACAACCTTAGGGTCTGAGGGAATGGCAAGCAGGGAGAATGTGCCCAGTCGTTCAAGAAAATAGGGCTCCCGGGAGCAGCAGACCTGGTGTGTAGCCAGTATTGTAGTGAGCATCACCGGAGAGTGGGGCCTGGCTGGAGGAAAAGTGGGGAAGTGACTAGATACAAGAAAAGGCCCTAGGCACTCAGGATTGGAGAGCCGCCCACCGCAGGAGGAGGAGCCGCTTCACAGTGATTGGTTCCTGCGTATTGAGAGGAGAAGGTTGGCCCGGTGGGCACAGCTCCACCTACTGGAAGAGAAGTTAATCAAACTCTAAGACTGCATTTAAAAAAATTTTTTTCATTATTATTATTCTCTCTTTTTAATTTATTTTTTTATTTTTAAAATTTCTTTTAATTTTCTATTTTTTCTTTTGTCTTTTCATTTCTTTTCAATTTCCTTATTCCCCTTTTCTTGAATCCTACCCTTTTTACTCTCATTCTCCTTAGCGACTTCTTCCCTCCCCTTCTAATACCTTTCCTCCTAAGCATCACGACGCTGTTTATTTGTAATTTACTACATATGTATAGGTAAATGTTCTGAGGTGTTATATAGTGCTGCCAATTCCCTAGCTACCCACAAATACTCCAGACCATTCTCCTATTAATATCCCTCGTCAGTAGAGCAACCTTCCAAGGTTGCCAAGAGATACCAACCTCAATACCATCACATCACTCAACCTAAACGTTAAGTCCCAAGACCAAACTGCAGACTGCTATATG